AATTTTGCTTTAAATAAATTATTCATAATATATTATAATAATTATAACTCAATGTTGAATAGTGTTGAACCCCTGTTGAATAGACGTTGAAAACCAGTGATTCAACAGTAATTCACCGGCGAATCAACGGTGAATACTGTTGAACCCCTGTTGAACAGACGTTGAAAACCGTTCAATTTCAACATGTTGAAATTTTTTCTGTACGGGAGGAAGCCGTGCGAACGAAAGCTTCGGACGAGAGAGATCTCGGGTGGCCGCGGCGATCATGCGACGAAGCGGAATTTATTTGGAAATCGTGTTTGCGACGTTCTCCACCGCGGGGGGAAGGTACGAACTCTATCCGTAAGCGGTGTACGTCCGACCGAACGGTCCGGCGATCTCGGTCGGCACGACCCGATGTCGAGTGTGAGTTTAAACCGAGGTCTCGCGTCGACCTCGGGCCGACGCCGAGCGACTCTTTCCCCGAGCGATGCCTTCTCCCGTTCCTTTAAACGTCGGCCGACCTCGACGGGTTTTCATGCATCCTGCTCGGCTCGACGAAGACTCGGCATGCTATGCCCATCGCACGAACCGGTGGTCGACCCGGTATCGAAACGACGTCGACGGTGCCCTGGAAATCCCCTGGTGAATCCCCTGGAAAGGGGATTTTTTAGCCCTCAGGGGTCGGTCGACGACGAACAGAGGACTGAGTTAGCCCTGAGTTAACTTCTCCTTGGGGTCGAGTAGCTCCGGGCTAAACCGATCCTTCCGCGTCGGTCGATGAATCGAAGATCGCGTCGGGGTTAGCAAACCCCACTCCCGGCAATCTCACGATCCCGTTCTCCAGGGATCCTCACCCGATGTCCCACTGCGCATGCGCTTATCGGTTTCGTACGTCAGGCCTCTCCGTAGCGGTTCGTTTGGATCGGACGGCATCGCGTTATTGAATTCTGAACGGATCTCGCTTCTCGCGTCGGTGGATTCATTCGTCCATCGGCGTAAGGCAGTCCCGTCGATGCTTCTTGGGTTCCTGGAGTTGCAAATGCTGTCGTACGGTGGTTTCCTCTCGAGTTCCTCATGCACGAGTGTCGAATTCGAGTGAAAAACACTGTAAATGCAGTACGGTCTGCAGTTTGGACGAGCGAAACCACTGTGAAAATTCCTCATCATCGTACGGTGTAGAAGGATCGGAACGATTCCTGACGTTCAGGACTTGGCACTTGCAAATCTCCTGTAACCTCCGTTACTTCAAAGAAGTCCACAGAGAAGCCATGACGGTGGCCCGTATGCAAGAACCCATCACTCGATAGTCGATTACATGGTAGGTATCAGGCGATAGGTCTATCATTTGCTCGGTTCCGTATGCCAGAACGATCGAAGGACTTTAAGGCAAAGTGGTCTATCTGCAAAAAAAATTCCTTCCTTGACCTCCACGCGGAAAGAGTAAATATTCCAACGACCGCCGTGTTAAAAGTGAGATCGCTGGTATGCATCGATAGATCGGTTAATCTTTTACCCGATTTCAAAAGAAAATATTAATTTATGTGAAAGGAACAGGATTCTACGAGCACGAAACCAACAGTATTTTTTTCGGAATTTTTTGTTGCAGATAGACCACTTTACCTTTCGGCCCTTCGATTTATAGGTATCCGTCGTGAGGCCTATTTTGATAGATATCTTCATGCTTATTACGATAGGCATAAAATGCCTATCGTGATAAATATTCCTGAATTTTCCTGATTACGACCTCCCATCTATCGTCTTGAGCCCAGGAACAATGGCATGTGTACCTGCTCACTTGACGATGAGAGTTGTGTGATCATTTAATGGTGTTAGTCTGACCCCGTTTACCAGACTAGTGATTACATTCCGATTGCCGTGGCTCGGTACGAAGAACTCTACGGGATTTAATCCATCCCAGAGTAACTGCGCTCGACACAAGTTCCAACGGTTCACATAATTAATTGGGTTAGCAAAATTCACTGTGATCCAACCTATTATCGTGATAGATCGAAGCGATTTTTATACCTATCATGATACCCTATCATTATAGGCATGAAAGGTTTCTGCATGTGGCCGATCGATCGAACCTGTCAAACTTATCGTTTGCTACTCCCCAAAATAGTTATTTTATCAGTTTTCTACGTTCTTCCATACCAGCCAGTATACGGTCTAACGCGATTACGGCATGGCGTGTCGTCCTCCCGTGATTGGCTTCTCATCACGGAGGGAACAACTTAGCACCACCCGACGAGTGAGGTCGATTTGTTGATTTAGCCTAACCCTCTTTTAGTCCGCCGTTCGTGAAACCGCTGATCGTCTCGTCCCGAGTTTAACCTTTAACCCCGTGCCATTCCGTCTCGGAGTCAACCCTCCACTCGTCGATCGACCCTCGGTGACGTACGCAAACCTCGAATCGATCGTATCGGTTAGACCGTTTCGGGTTTTCGGAGCTCGTGCCGGCCGCCGTATGGACCGGCGTTCCCATCGGCTCTCCGTAAGTACTTCATCGACTCCTCGTCGGCCATCCGTAAAAAAAGTCAGACTCCTTCGAACTCCTCGCGTCGGTGCGTCGCAGCCGCGGCGTGACTTCGGCATGGGATTCGTTCCGTTCTTTTCTATGGGCGCATTCTGACCGGCCTGCGCCGCACCTTTGCCGAAGGAGTCCGATGCGAACGGACCTCTACCCTCGGATCGGTTGCGAGATGGAGATCCGGGTCGACGTCTCTCGAAGACGGAAGGGAAGGAATTTCCCCGAAAGACGAGACGGTTCTCTCTCCCTTTTCGTCCGCGTTCGCGCGTGCTTGGCGCGAGTGGATTCGCATTCGGGCGGAGGGCATTCGCGGATTCTCCTTCTGTGATCGCAGCCACGACCATGGACGCGTACCCGACCCCGAGTAACGAGAGGACGAGGGAAACGGCTCCGAAGGAACGTCACTATCGAAACATGTTGTCCATCCAGGCCGGATACGCCCAGAGACCCACCCTCGAAGACCTGATCCAGGAACGACAGGCCCCTCTCGAACCGAACGAGGTGAATTCCCTTCGGACCGTCCGGACGACCCGCTCGGGTCCGGCGTTCGAGTTTCGTGAACGGTGTGCGTTTCTCCTCAGGCGGAGGATCCGGTCGACGAGGGTGCCCAGAGCGAAGGCATGAAGATGGGTTGGCTCGAAGGAGTCTACGTAGGCGTCCCGGGTTCTCACCGTCCGAGCGACTCCGATCCGCTCCGACCTTTACCGATCCCAAACTCCGCTTTCTCCCCCTCTAGATGAGATGCCTCTTGAACATCTGGAGCGTGATGCTGTTTCTCCGCCTCTCCTGGGTGGTCGGCCAAGCCGGAATCGGTGAGAATCCTCCGACGTTTTCTCGCTTTTCCTCTTTCCGCACCCGGGATCGGACGGCCGAGAGAGATCCGTCGTTCGACGGCGAGGTCGCGCGACGACGAGAAACGAGGCGAGAGATCCCGCGTCCGAAGAGAGTCGTCGCCGGTGAAGCGACGAGAAACGAGAGAGCGAACGAGGCGCTCGCGCACGAAGCCTCTCGAAGCGGTCAGAAGCGATTCTCGCTCCACCGTCTCCACCGCCCGTTTCTTCCGACGTGGAACGATCGCGAAGGCGACTTGCCGGAGTCCGGATCCCGGGGAGGCGGCGCCCCTGCCGACCCGCCATCGGTGGGCAGACCGGTTTCCGACGCCGCAGAAGGGATTCGCGTTCCTTTCTATCGTAAGGGGTGGCCCCAGAGTCACCGCCGGCTAGGCTTCGTCGCGAAGTCGATCGCAAAAGTCGACGATTTCAAATATTTTTCGTGCCCGGTTCGGACCGTTACCCGTCGATCGCGCGTTCGACCGCGATGTTGGCTCCGTCGTGCCTCGCGCCACGCACGTCGAAACGCGTCCCTGGACGCTCGACTTCGATCGTGGAGAGAGTCACGGTCGCGAGCACGAGTGCGTCGAACGCGATGGCATCTGCCATCCCATGCCCGATGTTGTCGTGGCGACTGCGGCCGGAACGAACGAGCGAAATAATTAAAATCGTCGTACGAGGAGCGGTACGAAAGTAAGGTACGTCGGTTTTTTTTCTCCGTGACCTTTTGCTGAAAATTTATGGAAAAAAGGAGAAAAACCCTACGCACAAAACTTTTTTGGCGCGAAAATGCCGTGTCGAAAGTTGTCCCTATCACGGCACACTTTGAATGCGTCGAAAGGTGTGTCCCGAGAGGCTTTCAAGTGGTCGAAGTGTGTCGCATCGACACACTAAAGGTTTCGTGTAAAATTAGAGTCACAGAGTGAGGTATCGCATGGATGACTGCTATCAGGTCGTCGTGCTATGTAAAGCACACGTAGTTTACGGGCGTGGCGTCCTGAGTGTCGTCAGAAAGAAACACCAGGGCTCGGTCTGGTGCCTGATCTCATTTCCGGCTGCATTCCCGGACCTATCGGCGATGCCTAGCCCGAGAGTCGAGAATGAAGGAACCTGGAAATCGAGGAGGACGGACGAGTTGTTTACCGGTAAGTATCGCACGTTAAGGACTTGCCTATAGCAAGTCCTTAGCGTGCGATACTTGCCGTAAACTTGCAAGTAAACTGCATCGAGAATCGTGCTCGGGATCGGTTACACGAGGGCGCAAGACCCAACGCTATATCGAATTACACACCGCATTCACGTCCGCACTCGACGGAGATGAATAGTGACCGCATCACTGGAGTCAGTCGTGTCGTTCCACCATTTAGACGCTAAGGCGTTGTGTCGTTTCCATCGATGGTTTATTTTAGGTTGCAGTAAGAAATGCTACGAATACGCTCAGCCTTCGCTACGTAGCGGAACATACAGGGTGTCCACAAAAGAATCATATTATATTTACAGGGTGGACGGGATAGTCCCGTCCTATTTTATGCGATATTTATGCGATGAGAACACTTCTTTTATGTAAAAAAAAAACGTTTATTTCAACAGTTTACAGCTTGTATATGTTGCTGGACATGCAGGGGAACATTATCTACTCAATATAGCCACCCTCCTCTTTATGACATTCGTACAATCAATAATTTTACCGCGAAATTTGATTTTGTCAAAAATATGCGATAGGACGGGACTATCCCGTCCACCCTGTATACAAAAATACACTTTCTCTTGCACGGACACCATTTTCCTAAATTACAGGTAGAGTAATAGCATACCCATACGCACTACCTACCACTAGTTGTGAGTTTTTTCGTGTGATGCCTTTAAAATAAAATAAAAATAAAAATCGAAAAGAGGAGTGACAGGCTTGGGAGAAGCACGAAGACATTTCCNTATATTAGTATCGAGAGAAGGACTTGCGTACCAAATTTCAGTTTTCAATAATTACGTTTTCAAAGCGGCAAAAACTTATTTGAAGTACGTCCCCGTCGATATACATGCCATGAGGGAACGTAATCGTTAAAGCGTCTTCCTAGGATATGGTGGCTTGTGTTCCACTGGGCATGTCTAAAACCATGGTTTTGACATGCCCAGTCTGTCAGCAAGCTGCTCACATGTCCGCCGTCTGTCTTCTCAATGGCTTTACGAACACAAGCCACCATATCCTCAGAGGATATGGTGGCTTGGATATGGATAGAGTTTTGACTGGACGACCAGAGCGACTTGCATCAGGTGTTGACGCGCAACCCTGCTTAAACTGACGGTACCAAAGTCGGACAGTTTTGATAGATGGCGCCCAGTCTCCTAGAGCCGAAGTGAGCAGCTCGTGGATTTCGGGGCAAGATTTTTCCGGTAGCACGTAGAATTTCATGATTGCCCTGACGTCATCCCGACTGAAAGATTGTTGTAAAAACGAACGGTCAAAAGTAGAAATGATTCAACTCCAGCAATAATCGCCGTTAGGATAGCTGATAAATATTTGACACATGGAAAGATGTAACAATGAGTCACAGATAAAAGTTTGAACATTTCAATCTCAAATTTTTACAAGGTAACAATACAGCAAGAGAAGAAAATAAACTTTATGACATTCGTACAATCAATAATTTTACCGCGAAATTTGATTTTGTCAAAAATATGCGATAGGACGGGACTATCCCGTCCACCCTGTATACAAAAATACACTTTCTCTTGCACGGACACCATTTTCCTAAATTACAGGTAGAGTAATAGCATACCCATACGCACTACCTACCACTAGTTGTGAGTTTTTTCGTGTGATGCCTTTAAAATAAAATAAAAATAAAAATCGAAAAGAGGAGTGACAGGCTTGGGAGAAGCACGAAGACATTTCCCCTCGAGACTTTTTTTCCCCACTCGGAACTTCTTAGCTCGAAATCGTGTCAAATCGACACACCACCATCACTTCCCCAAAATTTCGACACACTTCTGGCCCGGAAGAGCCCCTTAGGGCTACATGAAGCTCCTCTAGGAGGAGGAGTCCAAAATATGCCAAACGCATTTTCGCCCTCATAAAATAAGGAGAAAGTGTGTCCAAACGACCAGGCGAGTGCAAAATATGTCACTTCGACACGCCAAAAGTTTTTTGTGTGTATTTCCCTTCGTCTCCGTGACTTCCTCGACACTTTCTCCATCGATTTACAAGAGCGTACATGCCGTCGCCGTACGCCTTCTCGTCGCGTCTTCGTCGCCACTCGCGCACTGCGTCCTTCGCTTCGTCCTCGTCCGCGAAGGTCCGTCCTCGAAGATCCGTCCTCCAAGTCCATCTTCGAGCGGGCCGAAGTGGTGACGGTCCGACGGCATAACCGCTAGCGGATGGCCTCAGACGTGCGCAGACCGACGTGCTGCCCGGCGTCGTCGCGCTGCAGCGGGACTCTGGACGCGTCGAGCCGCAGGCGAACTCTTCGCGAGGTACGTTTCGTTTTTTTCGGCATCGCTCGAAGTCGATCGTGGCACCCTCGGGCACGGATGGACTTGCGGTCTTCTTCGCGGAGGTCCGTCGGCATCCGAGGTACCCACCGACCCGCCGATGCACCGGGCGCACGCCAAGGATCGGCCGAGGTCGCGAATCGTCTTCGCCACTGCAGGTTTCCCGACACCGACGACTTCGCACGACTCTTCCTTCGCGATCGATCGCTGCGAATCGGCTCATCCGGTCCACGCGACGGCTCCGGTGTCACCGACGTGGGTTTCGGGTTCCGTTTCCCCTGCCTTCGCCCGGCTCGCCCACCGTCTCGCGGTGCTTCCATCGACGACAGAGGTTCCTTTCCGTCCGTTTTTCCGTCGCCGATGGATTTTCGCAGGTCGAACTTCCTGTACGGTGGGTGATTCCATCGCCGATCTCTGCTCTCGACGCGCTTTCATCGCAACGACCGTTTTGAAAATGCGCAACGGTGCCGCTAGTCGGTGATTCCCCGTGAAACTCGCCGGCAAGAGCGGGAGACTAGGATCTTTTTAAAAAAAAAATTTCGTCCTTCTTCCACGCACGAGTCGGGTGTAAAAATTCAATGTGCACGACTTTCGTAACGCCCCTCGTACGCGATGACGTCGTTGCATTCGTGACGTTCCGCGTCGCGTCGATGGTTCCGAGCGTTCCTCTCGGTCGTCCGGAGATTCGAACGAGGTTTCGCCCTTCGGATCGGACCTCGTTCGGAAAGTCGACTCTCTTCCGTGCGTTGCATTTCGCGCGACGATGCGAATCGGTATCGGACGGGGTAGAGAGCAGAATCTCATCCCTCACGCGGACGAGATTCTACTCTCTGGGATTCCGTTTCTCGAGTCGCCTTTTCGTTCTTCCCCGTTCATCTCGGCGACTGCGTCTCCGACGATGGATCTTCTCGTCGTCGGCCACGGTACCGTCGATCCGCAGCATGCCGGCAAAAAATTTCGGATCGCGAGAGGAAATCGTCGGAAAGAGATGGAACAGGGAGAAAGAGACTCGCCGGGACGTTCGGTCGCTCACCGCCGGCACCAGGCATCAACGGTTCCGTTCTTTTCTTTCCTTCCGATTTTTCCTCGCCGCGAGTGCAGGCGAGGGGCTGGCGATCATCAGTCTGTGCAACTTGGTGACGATCATCACGGGGTTGTCCATGTCGGCCGTGAGCACTAACGGGCGGATCCGAGGAGGTATGCCACGACTCCGCACCCGTCGACGGGATCCCGTCTCCGATACCTGTTTCCACCCGCGATCTACTGCACAGGGGGACTGTATTACCTGATCTCGCGTTCCCTGGGTCCCGAATTCGGCGGGGCCATCGGCCTCATGTTCACCTTGGCGCTCAGCATCGCCACGGCCATGCACATCGTCGGATTCGCCAACGGACTCGAGGATCTCCTTCGAGAGAAATTCCAGACGAAAATCATCGACGGGGCCGTGAACGACACGCGAATCATCGGCTGCGGCTCGCTCGTCGTCCTTCTCGTCATCGTTCTCGTCGGCATGGAATGGGTGAATCGGGTATAATCATCCTCCACCCTCGCTCTCTCCTTCTCGCGCATCCGCATCCTCACGCATCCCGTCTTTTCGTTTTTCAGGCTCAGTGGTTCTTCCTGATCGGTCTCCTCGTGTCGCAAGTCACGTTCATCGTCGGCACGATCATGGGGCCCAAAAGCGACGATGAAATCGCCAAGGGGTTCATCGGTTACGATTGTGAGCTTGCGAATACGTATTCCCGTTTCCTATCGGCTCGCTTCCCGTCTCGATTTTTCGAAATCGTTTTCGAATGCTTTTTGGAACGTCGTTCGCGTCCTCGTAGCATCGAGTATACTAGCGTCCAAAAGAAACGTACGAAGGTGATCGAGGGCTCTCCCGCGTCGTTGGAGTCGTGATGGCTGTCCTCTTCTCATCACGATACTCGTAAACTAATATCTGGTAAAGTGCACGTACCATGTTTCAATGGCAATCAAATATTATGGAACTTTTTAAATGCTTGCATGAGGACGGAGAAGTGCAAGCTGACAACTTTGGAGTTTCTATTCTCGGACGAATAAGGAGTCATCTTTCGATAGATTGAAAGATTATCTTTACAATGCACAATGAGGTATGGACTTGCAACTTATTGTATCCATGATAACTGGAGAAGGCCTGTACGTCATGAAGACTAGCTGATCTGTCCCCGTTTCCGTTAACATGTAAGGATGTCTTCCTCATCTGTGACAGTTTGTTGACTGTCGGAGACGTGGTGTCGAATGATATGCGTTCGGTGTCACTAGAGCTCACCTCGAAGCTTCTCAATATGAAAATTAAGGTTCATACGCAGATATTTCAAACGACCTCAAACCCGAAACGGGGTACCCATGGGATTCTTAAGAAAATACTCCATCCGTTCCTTTTCAATACAGATAAGGGTTCACATTAGTACCTTATTTCGCTTCGGTACCTTTTCAACGAAGGATTTTGCAGCATACGTTTGTACCTCCTAACGTACAAAATACATACCTCACTGAACGTTTCTGATTTTCTGTGCAAAGAGTGGTATTAACCCCTTGCCCGGACCGTTAAATTTACTTTCCACCATGCATAGCCCAGCCTTTTCTTTCGCAACTTTTCAGAATCACTTTCTGTCAAAAAAAAAAAGCAGAAATCTTTTTCTTTTAGCTTGCTAGCATTTCCACCTTGCTTTCTGGACGCCGTGCTTGCCACAGATATTTACATCACTATGGTAGCATCACATACCTTTTTTTCACATGAGGAGGAGAAATGTTTCCACCCGCTGCAGAGCACCCCATCTGCCGCCTGCAGACAGACCTCTGTTGCCCGTGTCCACGCGAGACCTTGTGTCAGAATCCTCGAGGAAAGACCCCAACAACTAGATACTGTGGGACGTTCACACCACTAACCCCCCTCACCTTGGCTACCGCTCACCTAGAGCGATCGTGTCCGTGGGGTCTCGATTCCAAGATCTCAGATATTTATTTTATTTTCTCTTTGGCTGCTTACAGCACCACCAGTGCAAGAAAATTAAAGTAGAAGTTTCAAAGAATATCTTAGGCCAAGCAAGTGGTGTTTTTCGTTGTAATTTATTGAAAATAAATAAACAAAGTTCATGACACGTGACGCGCGTCAAAGCTAGTCAAGTGGTTAATGTATAGGGTATGGCAAAAAAATGACCAACGACTTAAATATCTGCCTTCCCAATAGAGTTATTTTCGCGAAACTTTCAAATTGCATATATGAGTATGTGTCCGACTGATACCTCAAATTTCACCTAAATTTGTTTTGCCATAGCAATTCTACCAGCAATTATTGAAAAGAAGTTAGAAATTGAGAATGAAAAAAAGATCCTGCTGGTAGTGCCGACCGTCCTGCCTTGTCGCCTCCTAGGGACGGGACTCGAGTGTGTCCTCCACTCCACTACCAGCAGGAGCTCTTGTCCATTTTCAATATCTAACTTCTTTTCGATAATTGCCGATAGAATTGCTTCGGCACAACAACTTTGAGTGAAATTTGAGGTATCAGTAGGAAACATACTCATAAATGCAATGTGAACGTTTCGCGAAAATAACTCTATTGGGAGGGAGGATATTTAGTTTGAAATTCGTTGATCATTTCTTTGCCATACCCTGCATAGATGTGGCTTTTGCTATCTACTTCGACGTTGATGCCTCGAACTCGACTGAGAGAACTGTAGAACCTTTGCGAAAGTTCACAAACGGTAACCATCCTTTCTTTCTCTGACCTTTCACTTTTTCAAACGAAGGGGAAGTGTTCAAGACGAACTGGGTATCAAAATACACCAAATTCGACGGGCAGGACCAGAGTTTTTTTACCATCTACGCCGTGTTCTTCCCCGCCGTGACGGGGATAGTGGCCGGGGCCAACATGTCCGGTGACCTCAAGGTACGTTCACCTCGTCGCCTTTCTCTTGAACGCGTGGACGCTGTCTTGTACGCTGGGGCGTGCGTCTGTCCAGGATCCTTCGCACGCGATTCCCGTGGGGACACTGGCGGCCATCGCCACCACCTTCGCCTCCTACCTATTGTATTCCGCCATGTTGGGTGCAGTGGCCGTGCGAGATGCGTCCGGAATAATCTCCGAACTGAACTCCGACGCCTCGAACATCCTGGAAAGCAAGGCCTTCCAGTGTGCCGATCGACAGTGCTCCTATGGACTACTCAACAGTTTCCAGGTACCTCGATCTTCATCTTCCTGTGTCACCGATGGCATTCCATCCGACACGACGTTGTCGTGTCGACATCGACTAGAGGTCGAAATGTTGAGGCACGGTTGAAGTCGACAATTCGGCTAAGGGTCAACAGCAACGAAACGCCGACTATTTAACCGCATTTTCAGCACATGGAGACGATTAATGGGCTAGCGATGTCGTTTTGAGGTTATTAAGCGCCAATTCATTTTTTACATTTGCCTTCACCATAGCTTCAATGTCATTTTAACATTTTTATCCACGTTGTCTCGACAGGAAATAGGTTCTACCAACTGAAGCGAAATGGCGCCGAGCTGCCGATATTTATCGATTCTCAACATGATCCCACCACCATGATACCACCAAACATATTCCCTATATTTTTCACACAGTACCCGATCTTTTCACACGTACAACTTAGGGGAAGGGTTTGGAATCCAGGATGATCCCGTTGAAGGAGATGACCCGGCGGATACTTCTGGGCAGGGGTCAAAGAAAGCATGCCAAAACCTCCGGACTCACATCGTGACAATTCGAGCTCTTCTGCTATATCTTTTAGAAAGGAAAGAGCATCTTAATATGGGAAGATGTGTCTGTTTCTTCTCCTGTGGAGACAAATCCGAGAGTCATGCCAGATTCTTAACTAACGTTATAAGATACTCTGCTAGACGGAAACAGATGTGTCATTCACGATAATTCTTGATTATAGGATTGTGTTCCAGTAAGGTTAAGTACAACCTCTCGGGAAATAAACCGCATGATTGTAATACAGTACTTTCTGGAGTACTTTCAAGTTCTCAGGGGTAGAATGGTTGGTTCCAACTTTGCGATTTCGCACTTTTATCAGCGCATCTTCAATATCAGAAAAGGAGCTGAAACAACGTGACGCGTAGGCGTATTTTCAACGTTGAAATGCTTAATTTAAAAATTGCTGTTACATTGAAAACTCAACCTTTGGCACAACGTTGTGGCAACATCGCTACGTTTAAAGTCAATCCTCGTTCGACGTTGACTCAACTTCGTTGCGTCCCATGGGTCATGCGTCTTGCGTTGTTACAAATTTTCGCCGATAGATACACACTTTTCACAGACTTTATCGTTCCGAACATCCTATTCGATAAAAGGCATCTACGGTAACTACCCCGCAAACATGGATGCGTTGTGGGAACGTTCAGCTAGAGCAAATTCAATGTCATCAACGTTGAAGGTCCAAGTCAAATGTTGCATGAATGTCTTAGCAATGTTATGGCACTGTAATACCTTCTTGAATTGTATTTTTCAATAACATTTCTGGTAACATCATGAAGCATGCCAGTCCAATAGGGGATAACTTCTTTTTTTTTTCAAGAAACGACCAAAACCTATCCAGTGTTCCTAACTAACGTTGACGGAATGCTTCTGCTTCGACATTCAACAGCGTCCCCAGCAAATATCCTAACATTCAATCAGCGTAGCATGAACGTTAATTTTGAACCTTCCCAGTGTTTGGTTGGCGTTGCAGCTAACATTAAGTCACTATTGCAATGTCGCTTATCGTAACACTCAGATGAACGTTGAAGTTCAACACTGGCTGAACGTTAAGCCAACATTGCAATGTCCCTTATTTGAACGCTCACTCTCACCTTTATAGCACCCCAACATTTGGTCGATAACGAAGGCAATGGACTCTACCTAGATATGAATGCACCCTTTTTCTGGTGCTAGCAGGGTGGTAACACTGGATAGGTTCTTGGTCGTTTCTTGAAAAAAATTTGTATTCCTGTACTCCCTATTTGGCGATGCATGCTCCATGATACTACCATGAATATTATTCAAAATGCGATTTAAGAAAGTATCATTTTGCCGTTACATTGCTATAATATTCACGCAGCGTTTGACTTTGACCTTCAACGTCAATGACATTGGATTGACCCAAGGGGAACGTTCCCACAACGCAACTATGTTTGCTGGGTAATTTATCAGAGGTTCTAGGAACATGTAAGATGAAAACTGCAAAGCGCCACGAAATGTTGAATCACTGTTCAGAAGAAGCTCTGATTTGGAACGAGTCTGTGTTTGCTGGGAAATTTTCAACTAATCTTAAACTTCGACCTGCACCCCACCCCAGTAGCACCAGATATTGGTTCAGGCCACTATTTGGAGGTATGGGTCTTGCTTTTCGCACAGTACACAAAAATGCACTTCCCTCTTTCCATGGAATCATTCCTCACAGGAGTGTTTAGTACCTCACCATATGTCTTTCTTAGTCTCATTACACTATATACAATAGCAATTAATAAAATCGGACACTAAATCATTCATTATCCCCATATTCGAGACAGAATCATGGAGCCCAGTCGATAAACAAGCTCATATTCACTATGAGGACTCCTTGCATGCTTAAATTCACATTACTTATAAGGAGTTTCCATAACTCGATTGTGTACGTTGGGGTCCTCATTCCTTTCTTCGCGTCCTCATCTCTTGGGCCAGAAATGAGGACGCAAAGTTGAGGAAAGGAGGATTTGAACCTGTGGGTGCTTCGCAGGGCAGGAAAGGGAGGACTGTTCCCTGGGAAGTACTAAAATTAGTACATTCAGCGTAATATGTATATTACTTGATCGTCGTTATTGACCCAGTACTAGGGGCACTACTGCAAACAATATAAAACAAATAACGTTGAATAAACATTGGATAAACGTTTGAAACGTTTACACAACCTTGGTCCAACGTAGATTTGTTTTTTTTTTTTTTGAGTGGGGGAGCGTTCCAATAAGCAACATTACAATGTTGGCCCAACGTTCAGTCAGTGTTCAGTTTCAACGTTCATATGAGTATTACGATAAGCGACATTGAAATATTGACTTAATGTTAGATGCAACGTCACCACAACAGTGGGAAGGTTCAAAATTAACGTTCATACAATGCTGATTGTTCGTTTGTTTGCTGGGTAGCAAATGACAAACGCATATGGAGATGGATGTCTCGTTTTGGCTTTCCTATGGGAGGGGGGTCCATGAATCTCTCAGGACCAGTGAGGTCCTATCAAAAATATCTCAGGTTTCATAAACGATAAAAATACCTGTTGCTTGTCCACTCAAGAACAATCATGGGGATTTTTTTCTTCATTCCCACAAAATGACTAGTCTGATGTGATCTGCTACATTGTGGGAATGCCCCGTAAATCCGTCGTTCTCCGAATCTTCTTTTGTGACTGATTCATTGTTTTTCATGATACGCTATTGCGAAATGCCAGATCGCATCCCAGCAAATAAGGCTACGTTGGACCAATGTTGTATCAACGTTCCGAACGTTTATTCTATGTTGATTCAACGCTGATTCGACGTTATGTGTTTCAAATTGTTTGCTGGGATGCCTCAGCGAAAATATTAATATATTCTGTTTAAAGATTTGCTTGTAAAACTACAATAAGACTACTCAGCAAACCCGGGGTCATGTCGGTGTAACGTTGGAAACTCGTTATTTAAGTGTTCTTCCGTAACATAAATGAGCATAGCTTTAAAATGGCCCTTTTGAAAGCACTCAAAGCAACGTTGGTGTAAGAGGGTTTAAGCAATGCTATGACAACGTTCTACGTGCAACACTCGATCGGGACAGAGGTACTGCGATCTGGCAGTGGCTCGAAGAAACAAAAGTTCGCACAACCGAGGCGAGATGACACCCAACCCAGGTAGCACATAACATTGATTCAACGTTGATTTGGTGTGGATCGAATGTTTCACTGTTGAAGGTTTATACTTCTATGTTGAATCAACATTGATTCGATGCGGTGACCATCACCGTTTATACTCCCACATTGACTCAACATTGACTCAATGCTGCACTAATCACAGTGGAAGTGTCAACATTAAATCAGCCGCGATTCAATGGATTCTTTTGCAGTTAAATAAACCCTTGTTTTTTTATTATCTACCCTCAGGATTTGTTTGTGTACTTCATCATGGTTCGTTGAATAGTTTAGTCAATCGCCCAGAATACATTACGATCGCGAAAAATGCTTGATTTGGGCAAATAAGAAGGTGGCTGAAATGACGCCTGGCCTAAAGTCTATCGCAGCAGACAAGCAAAAAGAAAAAGAAATTCTCGCGAGCATCTTACATGGTGGAATTGTCTCAATACAAACGTAAAATCAGAAAAAGGAGATTCAATAAAAATCATATATATGTGTGTGTGTGTGTGTGTTTTAAAGCCATCGATTAATTAATCGATTGACTTGGACATGCCAACTGACCCATCACTTTTTACTTACTTTTTTGGCCAACCCAATATCACCATCCTACTTTAGGAGCGTCTGTGGCGTCTGTGAACTGCTTTGATGAGAATCATCATACATTCATTATTCCTTTTTTGTTTCATCTTTTCTTTATTTCAGTCTTTCACCATCACTTTATTGCATTTTTTACTCACTAACACACCAAATCAATGTAGAGAAAAAAAATCAACACTGTGACTCATGTCACTTGTGACTCACGTGATGAAAGGTGCACAAAGGATATTGCACTGCTGCAATTTATGGTCTGAGTCCTATTGTGGATTGGAATCCTAAATAGCTAAGAGGAACCAAGAGCATTCACCCGTAACAGCAAAGACAAAGTATTGACAGTTAAGATGACAATTTTTGTGACTCATGTTATACTTGAACACCCATTCATCTTCAAGATATCGCAAAATATTTGTTTGCATTGGTACTTGAGGATAAGACGACTTCTTCGACAAGATGCAGCATATGTCACAAACCCCAGATTTTAAGCTCTTGCCAAATAGCATATTCAAAGAAGGTTCAGAAAAAATGTATATTCTGAAGAGTCATGATATGGCCCAATTGGGTTCCTCAAATTCAAAATGGCGTTGCTGCATGACATTGCAGCCAGGATGATCAAAGGCACAAATTATATGCTCTCGAATGCATTCTTCATGGCGACATCAACTGTTGGATTGTCCTTTCGTTTTTAAATGTTGGTACTTTTGCCCCGTTTCAGTGGAATGTTCCATTACATTTTCTGAGCCAAATTAATAGAGTCGCATGTTTATAATTCAGTTGATGTCTGTTCTTTTCGTTGCCATTGACGTTGAATGATATAAAAAAATGGATGGGAAACACTGGCCATTCTAGCTTCTTGAGTACTCTGTAACGTGAGTCACGAAGGAATTATCTAGTTTTAAAAAACTCCATGAACAGATTTAAGAATTTATATATGATATATATCCCTCATCTTTTATCTAAATGACAGCGAAGTGCTGTCTAAATCCAATTAAAAATAAAGTAGGATTAATTTACGGAAGACCTACACATGGAAATCGTGTCCTTTCATTATAACAGAGTCATGAAAACCTTTTTCATTTTCTCGCACTCAGAAGAACTTAAAAAAATTATTTGTATTATATCCAACCAAAGCTCAATGCCTGCAATGATTATGCCTTAAAGGACGATCTGAAATTGAAATTTCAAAAGGTAGGGTGGAATTAACTTCTGAAAATTGTGTGCATATTTAACATTTGTCTCTATGGAATAACCCAAATGCATTCAACTGCGCAAAGTAAAGGCTTTCTGACTCATACTGTATAGACGAAAAATACCCGTTTACTTTTTCCTGTTTTCGAATTTCATTTATTTATTCATATGCATTCTTCCATTTTTCATATTATAGAAATCCTTGTAGAACTCCACTATATGGAATTCCAGGAGCTTCTATCGACCTCTGCCAATACCAAGTACTTGCATATGGTATACCCAAATCTCTGGACATACCATGTATATACCATACCAAATTCTTGTCCGTATTCTCTCTATTGTGAGCAAACATCAATATATGGCTATACGCAACATGAGGGAATTGTGTTGGAGCAAAGCACTGGGCGAAGAGTTGGTCAATGGAAGTCCAATCATTCATTGTTTTTGTCAGCACAACAATCCAATATCCACTCCTTGTTCTGTCAATCCAGAAGTAGTCCCCTGTCCAGTCTGCATCCAAATCAGCATCCAGGAAAATGGCATGACTTATTTCCCGAGCAATTCTCCTCTTCATCTTCTCCACTTCCTCTACAATCATACTTGTGTGTGAATAAATGTGGATGATAATGACATCCTTTTTGTTCTTGTTTGCTTCCCTTAGGAAGCGAACGAGGTCATCGCCGTTCTCAGCTCGGGATCTGCGCGTCTGGAGAGAATAGACAGAATGCTGTATGAAAGATCCACTAAAATATCCACCCAATTAATAAAGGGATTGATTAGGATGGCTGCACATGCTTCGCGTCCTTCTATGAACTATCAAGTGGACCAATCTGTCCGCACCTTACCTACCCTTTCTCCTTCCCCCTAACTTTCCTTCCATCTTCTGTCCCCCCCTTTCCCCATTCTACAAAGGCTTCAAACCCAGGTTCCCTTGTCATTAAAGCTGAGCTCCCTCTCAACTAGATCACCCCGCTCATCCATCCAGCACAGTTATTTCGCATCCTATACACCAAGGTAGACATATTTTTTGGTAGACGACTTGGGTAGAAAATTTTGATAACAGTAGCTGGCGGAGTTTATAATATTAGCTTTAAAAAAATATTATGGTCAATATAGAATTTGCTTTTGGTTTTCATGTTTTCATGACAATAAATGGCTGATAACATTAACTAGCGATAGCAATAAGCAGCACCCACTGCTCTTATTTCATTTCTCTTTCTATGCACTATTCTTTTAGATTCCTCCTTGCCACAGGGTCACATGGCACTTCTGGCTCCACAAAATCTTTATCAACTTTTTCAATGATTTGACTCGATTCACAATACTGGAGGAAGATTGGATTTTTTTCTTGGTTGACGCTGCCAAACAGTGTGCGTTTTTTTCAGCGCCACGCGTTGCACTCAAGACGCTGTGTATATACGAGGATATTGATGAGAAATAATTTTGCAAAATATTCTCCTCTATAATTCGTGAGAGAATCAGTTGCCTACAACTACCTCAAAACGATATGCACACAACAAAACATAAAAGTACAATAAGCTACATATTTTGTACATTTTGAGGTACGAACGTATGTCATGAAATATATTCGTTGAAAAGGTAACAAAGCAAAAAAAATGTACAAATGCAAACCTTTCTTATCTCTATTCAGAAGATATGGATGGGGGCTTTTCTGTAGAATCCAATGCGTACCTCGTTTCGGGCTTAAGGCCGTTTAAAAGATTTGTTGAGGAACCTCAATTTTCATCTTCGAAGCGAGCTTTTGTGACACTGTCATTCGCACCATTCGGCACTACATCTCCGACAGTCGGCGAACTGTCACAAATAAGGAAGATCTCCTTCCACTATTATGTAAGAAGATACAGTGAAACCATAGCTACTGTAAGTCTCCATAATGCCACATGACATGTTGACTGTCTCTTAACAACGCCTTCTCCAGTTATCATGGATACACTTCGTAGCAATTCTAGACCATTGTAAAAATAATATTCCATGCTTTTTGAAAGTTGGCTGCTCGTTCATCAGATAACCTGTCAGTTTACGTTTCTCTATCCTGCAAAACCCCAGCATACATTCTCCTGAATCTTTGATTGCCATGGAAACATGATAATTACACATGCATTAAATATTAGTTTACAAGTATTATGAGAAGAGTGGAAAAGGAAAAAAAGTTATTCTAGGGTCTGGTTCATGTTGACTTTAGATCGGATATTTGTTGGAACATAAGCGCCATCATATGCGTACTTTGAATACTCCAATGGAAATTCAGACCTCTGCATCTGCAACGTACCAATGTGAACATCTGAACCACGTGCGCACAAAGGTACGTATGTAGACACGGATGAGGAAGGACACTATTATGTACGTCTCATATTTGTATCTTTCCTTGTACTCTTCTACTTTGTTACGCATGCATCAGTTCATCTCATTTGATCCTAAATGTGCATGCACTGTTTCTACTTTTTTTGCTCTCTGAATGAATATCATGTTGAACGAATTGAACAACATGCTTACAAAAGAATGGTGATTAGAGTAACTAAAGAATTCACAGAACCTTATTATTCAAATTTTCTTAAATGGAAATCTTGTAGGAAGTCTGATTCAAGGTTACCAGAGTTGGCTGTGCTGTGGGAAGGACGATTGGTTCTTGTCTCGACATTGGAGTTTGGGAGGATGGTTCATTACTCATTGTTCCTACATTTGCAGGTGTCTCCTTCAAAATGAGTAACTGCTTCAGCAGATCCTCGACCTATGGAAGTCAACCACTTCCAGCAGATCAACTTCGATCAAAAATTAAAGCAAAGAGAATGGAAGAAAATGTGAAACCTGTTTTCTGTTTTCCTCTAACTTTTTTTCGATTTCGAATTGCTTTCGCTTTGTTTCTTCATGTTCGCTCCGCTCTCTTAGGAGCTGCTCTTCAACGTCTGTCGCTTTCTTTTTCTCCATGCTGGATGCATTCGATAGACTCTGCTGCGGTTCTTGTTTCTGCAATTACGAGTAACTATCTTACCTTCGTAATTAAAATTTTTTTAAGTAGTGGAACAGCCCTCTGGGAATAGGATAGAATGAAAGATCTATTTCTCGATCTCGCGATTCCTTCGTTCTCTCTCTCTCGACACAGAGACTTCTTATTGAATTTCTCAAGTTCTTCATTCCTAGTCTTATAGTGCACTTTAAAGTTTCTTCTCTGTTTCCAATGCCTCTTTAATAAATGTCTCCTTGATACTAGTCAAAGCGTTCGAGATGTCGTTCTGTGCCTTCAGTGCTTCATTCCATTTCACTTGCTGAATTGAGGTAATGAACGTCAATAAAGCCTAAGCTCTCTCTCTATCTTCTCTCTCTCTCTCTCTCTCCAAAGCTTGTGCTTAGTGATAAGCAGCATTTTAGTACACTGGCCTTGAGTCAAGTCCTCTCATGTCATATGCCTTATTGCCCTTTTACTTCTCAGGACTATGGGATTTAAAAATATTTGCATAGCCTGATTCCAGAGGATATTGTGATTAAAAAATCTAGAAATAATTGTTTTGCTTACACGACCATGAATTCTGTAATTGTTTTTGGATTTAGATTTCGGATTTGAGTTTGGAGTTCCACCTTTCAGATGGCACCATCAGATTTCAATGTTCCGAAAATTCTTAGCAGAAACGCAACAAGTTCAATACCACTCTTACATCAGTTTCCTCACATTTTCGTCTTTTGGCACATCTAAAGTGCACGAAAAGTATTTGTTTCGGTCTGTTTGGCCTACATTCTGTTTTATTGAGCAACAATTTGAAGTAGAAAGCATTTTTGCTTACATATGGTGGCACATATCCCTTACCTGTGCCAGTGTACTTGTGGTACCTACTGGGTCTCCACTGTCCAACCTGCGAGGATTCACCATACACTCATTGTAACACATGAAAGAAAAGGATGTTAATTGGGCAATTTGCTGATGACTGATGGGTCTAAAGTTCCATTGTTGAACAAATCAACATAAGTTACCTAAGGCCAATATGAAGTTATGGCAAAGTTAATGAGGTCGCATATCATTTGCATTATATCACATATACATAATGGCTATAAAAATGTACCCACTATCCCATTAATTCTGGCTGCTTTCATTATTAAAGCAATATCAAGATCATTACAGTACCATTATAATACAAGCATCAAAAGACTAAGTTCACCTCAGATACTCCCACTGAGATCCACTAGTATGAAAACATTCTTCACAACTGTGCAGGACTGATTGGCACATTGTAGCACACATGTCAACTGTGATTTGGTGTAAAGCATTGGTGATCTCAGTTCTTTGATGTTATTGAGTTCTTGAGCACAGACCACAATCTTCCACCCCACCCCCAAGGAAAAAGTCAAGGGAGGTGAGGTCCAGAGAACAAGGTGGAAATTCTATAGGTCCATTGCGTCAAATCCAACTACCTGGGACAGTACACTGTGGCGTAGCAAGAAATATTGGGCTCCTCGATCCTCCTGTCNGAAGTACACAAACACATCCTGAGGGTAGATAATAAAAAAACAAGGGTTTATTTAACTGCAAAAGAATCCATTGAATCGCGGCTGATTTAATGTTGACACTTCCACTGTGATTAGTGCAGCATTGAGTCAATGTTGAGTCAATGTGGGAGTATAAACGGTGATGGTCACCGCGTTGAATCAATGTTGATTCAACATAGAAGTATAAACCTTCAACAGTGAAACATTCGATCCACACCAAATCAACGTTGAATCAATGTTATGTGCTAAAAATTATTTGCCGTGCTATCAGCTTTCTCATGAACTCCAAAGAACCGAAGTGCAGCGCCTTTTTTGCCTCACCCGGTATATCCACAGCGTTTGTAAGTGCGACGACTGGCGTCGAAAAAACGCATACCCGTTTGACAGTAAACAATGCCAAATAACCGCTCTACATCATTCTACATCATTGTGAAATGGGCCAAATCGCTATTGGAAAAGATTCGAGGTGCCAGAAACGTCACTAGATCCTAAGATAAGAGGAATAAAGGAATCTGCACTATACATATGGAGAGAAGAAAGTGGAAAAAGTAATCAGCAATAATGTACTAGTTCCTTTAGTTCTTCACCCCCGAAATTCGTTTATCCATTTCCATGGAGCTACAAAGCTCTGTTTACAATCTGGCAGAGACCCTTGACTTGACACCAATGCAAGCACCTTCCGTATATATTGTTAGTTAGTTCGAAGCAGTTGCACATCACTTGGGTAACCAAGGAGTCTGTTCTTTTGCATAAGAAAAAAGGAAGCTATTGCAAATCACATAGTATAAAAAATCCCTTACGGAAAAATCATTCATGTGAGAAACCGTGTGACTTTGGGACAGTGTGACGCAGTGCGCCCCATGTGATTGGGTCTCATGGGGCGCTTTCTCTTTATTCGTGCACGGTTATTGGCAATGGTAATTAATATTTGAAATAAATGAAGGGTGGAGGATATCGCCATGAACGTTCCTGGAGTAATTTGGACCGCTGTCAAGGAACTTCACCGGAGGTATTTATAATTATTTGCATTCTTCATATTATTTTTCCGGCGATACCGTCATAGCTTCATTCAAATTCTAATAAGAAAACCAGCAACACATGTGATTCTATTTCTCGTGCCTGTACAGGTACTCAACAACCCACCAATCCGATGAGATTTGGGTGTGACACAGTGTGATAGAGTGTGAAACGGAAAATCACATGATAGATCACATGCCTCTCACAAGTGACACAGCATGTGATCGGGTTGATTTTTCCGTAAGGGATGATTTCTGCCAACGGAAAACTTTTTATGAAAAATAACATTATACGATCCCGACCTCAACATTCACGAAATGGTCAACTTTGTTCTTTTAACAGGCGAAAGCGATTCAGCTTTGTCTTCCACATCTCTCTCTCCTAGTCTTACTTAAACCTCTCCACTGCACTCGTCACACGATATAGAGGTCTCGATCTCTCCAAAGCTTGTGTTGTTTCCGTTCAAACAGTCGAATGAGATTATTAGACCATTATTATACTTTTTTTTTCTTTACGACGTGCATAGGATTTTAAACGGGAATCGAGGCATCTGGCACGCTTATTCCCAGATAACTGTACTAGACAGAGAGGTCAGCCAAGTGTCAATCGACTCTACAAGAAGTGGTGGTTTGCTGATGAATGCTAAATCATCAAAAAAGTGATTAATTAAAAATCAATTAAAAAATTTACGATCATGTACAAAATATTTCGCAATGACTGTAAATGCCTCAAAATGCTCTAAAAATGCAGAACGTCCAATAATTCAGTATAGCACGACGAGTTAATACACAATAGTAACCGAATATTCGTGAATAATACTCAAATGATTAAAAAAACGTAGAATGCAGACTCTGTATACGTATATCTGATCATTCTATTTCATGTCTGAGCTGGATTCCCGATCTAAAGGTATTATTTTTCTAGATTACTCACGATATTGGTGGGTCTCCCTGCTAGTTTAAAATAACGCTTAATCCACTAATACACAGCGCTTGAGATAATGATGTAAAGTGCGTAGCGACTTCACGGTGTGATAAGATCCAATATCTTCAGGGATTTCAGATTTTAGTATTGGATCCAGGATCAATTTCAAGAGGACATCAGTATGGTCATATCGAGATCCTGTGCGTCCAAAACCAGGAATTTATTTGAATTTATATCCTAAATACCAGATGAATACTGGGTAATAAATTCCGTGTCCCCTTCGGAACGAAGATCATATTAATGAGGCGACTGATGCTTTTTCAGCCTCGAGATTTAGTTGGAATCTAAATTTCCTTGCTCCCCCAGCTCTACCTACTACTAGGGCTCAATCATTTTTTACTCCTAATTTAGGAGTCTCTAAAGGGTAATGCGATTCCCAGCAACACTATGTAAAGAAGTTAAAGGAAAGGCGCTGCTGCGCCACTCCTGGAATGTTACTTTTAGAGGGGAACTAATCATTTTCCCTTCAGATTAGAAGCCAATAAACGATAATCTACTCCAGATAATAATCCCAGCACAAAGGAAAGATGAAACAAAAATCTCCATCCAACTGGAGGAGGGATAATAGAACTTTCGGTCCGAAACGGTCTGCGGGTCTAGTCGGGTTGGACCAATCGGACCAGCCTACCGTGATTTATTCTCTCCTATCCTGACTCGTTTGCCCCTTTATATATTTTGTATATTTTGACTTTGTAGAATAGTCTTTTATAATCCGCCAAATTATGATTTATTAATTCCTTTTTATTGGACTTCTGATCGAGTTCTTGAATTCCAGTTCTCTTCAGAAATAATAGAAGGTATGAAATCAGAACATGCAACTTCCAGGGTACCACAATGTTGGTTCATTGGACTCGTTTTGGTTTTTACTATGAGAAAGGAGTTCCTATGGGGAAGGAGTTCCCGCCTCACGCTCCGGAACAATTTGCAAGTTCTTCCGGTCCCTTGCCGCAAAAAGGAAACCACAACGTTTTATTCAACCTAAAATCGACGACTGTAATTTTCGCAATTCACAGGTATTCGTCATAAGTAGCCTGCTGAGAATTTCCTTGATGACAATGGGTTTTGGCGCTTTTAGTGTCTGCCGGTGCCAAGAAGCACAGTACTAGCAGATGACCAATAATGCGGTGGCGATGCAAAGACGCATGGTACTGACCGACGATCAGTACCGTGAAGGACTCGAGACGGGTGTTAGTGTCCTCCAGTTAATCCAGTCCAACCAGCTAATCTACCCTCCCTGTGAATATACCAAGCAGCAGCAGCTTTTTGCTTGTCTGCAAACCTTGAGAGTGGACAAAGAGACCTTGCGAAGATACATCAGGGGAAAGCTCTGCATGAAGCCTTAAAAAAAAAGGTGCAGCTGCTTACAGAGATCAACAAGAAAAAACAAGTTCAAAGGTTCCGCCAGTTGCTCAAACGGTTTAACCAGGCCTCACTCCAAAGGATTGTTTTTTCTGACAAAAAAATTTTCACTGTAGAGCAAGCTTACAACCCCCAAAACAATCGCCTCTGGGGTAAAAAGCTTTCCTCTTTCAAGTCTCACCAGCTATATGTCCATCGAGTTAAAAAACCAAGTAGTGTGATGGTGTGGCACCGGCAGACACTAAAAG